TTGCCATTATCGTTCAGCACCACGTCATAAGTTATATGTGTGTCACACTTGTTGGTTCAACATCTAATCTCTACAACGGTCCGACATGACCCTTTAAAGTGTCTCGACCTTGATTCCAGTCAATTTTTACAACGGCTCAACATGAACTCGTAAACTATCCCGATATTAATTTCGGTCAGTTCCTACAACGGTCCGACACGACCTTAAATTGTCCCAGCATTAGTTCCGGCTAGTTTCTATATCAGTCCAGTACAACCTTAAACTGTCCCAGCGTTAGTTTTGGCTAGTTTCTACAACGGTCCAGCACGATCTTAAACTGTCCCGGCATTAGTTTCGGTCAACTTCTATAACGATTCGACATGACTTTAAACTGTCTCGCCATTAGTTCCGGCCAGTTTCTACAACGGTCCGACACGATCTTAAACTGTCTTGGCATTAATTCTGGTCAGTTCCTACAACAGTCCGACATGACCATAAACTGTCTCCTGGCATTAGCTCAGGCCTCTGATCTATCTCAAGCACTCTTGCACTCCCGTTCGGACTTTGTAATCTATTTGCCTTTTATTTTATTTTTTTGTTTTATTTCATGTTTAGTTTCTTTCCCCAAACTCAAGTTAGTATCCTTACTTGAGTTTGAGAGGGGTGTTAAATATAGTAACTATATATCTTGTCTATCATACATACCATATTATATTCATTACTATATTTAGGATTACCACACTTAGGTTTCTATCCTCCTATATAAAAGAGTCTTGTATACTTTGTTATATAATTGCTCAACACAACATTCAATATATACATCATACAATATTCTCTTTCTCCCTCTCTTAGATATTGTAACAGTCAGGTTTTGATTCAGTTGTGTTTTGAAGTACATATTGTATTTGTTTTATTTACTATATAATCTTTTTATTTTTGCCGATAAAAAAAAATGTTGAAACCTGGTTTTGATGATAGTAGTTGTAATATTCTAGTAGTATCATCCCTCTCTGGTGAATCAAACTTATGGTTGAGTATATCAGCTACGTTTAAGGATCTACCGAAAAAGGATCAACTAGAGCTGATTGAAGAAGCAGCCGCTAATGAATTTCAGTTTACTGTTTCATTAATTGAGAAACTCGACGAAGAAATTGATAAAGATTTTAGGCAAAGAAGATTTACTGCGCTATTGAAACAACTTCCTATCCATACCCTAAAAAGTTTCCAATCAAAAGTTTATGATAAACTATTTGAAAAGTTATTTTCTGATCCAATTGGCCAGAACACCGAGCACCCCCCCTTTTGCCTCACTAGAAAGTCAAGACTCTGACGAAGAAAAAGAAAGACGGGGTTGTGAACAAGAAGAACCAAGATGGTTTTTATTTAATGATTTATTATCTTCTTATTATTTAGAACAAAAGTTTAAAACAATAAATATAAGGGGAGTAGCAGTACGAGGGGGTGGAGGAGCAGCAATACAAGGAGGGGAGGGAAAGGCTAAACAGTTGGAGGATATATTATATGCCTAACTTCTTTGCCTTGTAATATAAGCTTTTCATTTAGATTTATTCCTTACAAATAATCATTCAATTCTACGAATAATTAAATTATATGCCTAACTTCTTTGCCTTGTAATAAGCTTTCTATATCGTTAATTATTCATAAAATTGAATGATTACTTGTAAGGAACTTAAGTCTCCTGTTGGAGATAATTGTTAAAATAAATAAATCTGAAATTAAAATCTATCTGAATTTGGTCAAATTCGTAAATAATTTATATATGGATCGTATCTTACAAATTTATTTAAAATTTATTTATAATAAAGTGAGTATGTTAGACACGAGTACTCGCCGGGCTGGATTAAAAAAAAAAACTTTACGTGTAGGTCTTAATAAGTAGACTTATTGTCCAATAGATCCTGTGAGAATTAATGGAGTTTTTCATCAAACACTATTAAAATCGTCACTAATTGTTAATTTTCAACAATAGTTTAAAAATTTTATTAAAAAAATGTCACTAATTATATGTTTTAACGCACTATTAAAAAATATATTTTTTGCGACCGCTACAAGCCGTCGCAAATAATAAAAATACAGTCGCAAAAAACCTTTTGTGACGGCCCATGCGACGGCAAATGGGGGTCGCAAATGTGGGGTGGCAAATACTTTTTGCAACGGCAAATCAACGATCGCAAATTATTCGCGACCGCCTAAACTATTTATGGCAACCACTATGTTGCCGTCGCAAAAAACAAAAAAAAAAAGAGGAAGTCTAAACTAGTTTTAATTAGATATATATCACAAATGATCTAACACAAACCTTTGTCATTCTTGATTTGCGGGTAGCCTCTTCAGCTTCTCGGATTTTTCTTGTCTTCAAGAATTAATCTGCTCATAATTCCAGTTGATGCAATTAAAAGAACAGAAGTATCCAACAGTAACAATCTCATACATGCATATGTATGCTTAGGAACATATATACACAATAAGGCTTTATATACATTATTTATTTCCTATTTCTATACAGCAAGAGAGAAAATATACAGTTCACATAAGATGTAAAAAATAATATCAGAATATCCTTTATTTTTGCTGATATATGGTATAACCAACAATGTTGTGGGATAAGATTTCACACAGATTTTGTCCACAAAGATGAATAGATACTTCTGCAATTTGGAATCCTCCACTTCACCTTTAGACAGATAATTATTGGCATATGTGCTCTTCTCTTCCCAAACCTTAACATTGGACACCGCCTTTCCATTAGGCTTCTCAACCAAGCCATTCTCTTGGTTCGGTAATCTCTCAAAGGTTTCCACTTTAGCTAGAGCAAAGAAAGATTATTCCTTCACCTTATTAGCTACCATAGAGTTATTAGCCGCTCTTGCAGTACCCTTGTCACGGTTGGCAACATCAGAATATGAATTAGATAGAAGTGGAAGCTTCAGAGCATTAACAATAAGTTCTTCACAAACCAAGTCTCAATGTCTGTTTCTTTTTTCAACGGAACACCAATGCCATTTTGAGTGCCCTTATCAATGTGATTCTTCAATTCCACTGAAAAGGCATTTCTCTCAAATGACTTAAGTTTCTTGCCTTCTAAAACTTTGTCATTGCCCCTAGCAGAATCAGATCCATTTGAACTTTCTTAGCTACTCTTGATCACACGTCTAGGTTTAATGTCTCCTTTAAGCTTTTCCTTTTCAATCATGTAAATTAGATCATCCGGAAGAGGGTATAACAATAGATTGCCATGCACTGGAAATGATTTCATAATCTGCTCCAACATATAAGCCAAAACAAGTAAGATAATCTGATAATTTTCAAGTCAATTTAGGCAAAAAGAAACTGGAATACTACACTAAACTGATACAAGGACATGACTTACCTAAAGAATACTAGTTGGGGATTCTTCTGGGGCATCCAAAGGTTCGTGTGAAAACCCTTCACTGTCGGTGGGGCTTTCATTCAATGAAGAAGAGGGCGAGATATCAAGGCCAAGACCAGTGTAGATTTCAGCATTTTTTTGCGTCGAAAAATTATCAGAACCCACTTTGATTCGAACCTTCAGTGTTTTTTGGTCAGAAGGCTGAGCACAGTTTTTCGCAAGTTCACATCTTGAACTGGATTCCTCAGCACAATGTGCTGATGACATGCCTATGTCTCTTTTTGATAAATCATTATTGGAAGACCTCAGCGAAGGGAGCAATGCGGCATTTGTAGAAGACAGCCCATGTCTCGCTGACAGAGATGCACTAGATAGAACTACAGAGTTATGACGGCTACCCTGTGTAATTAGACAACTCAAAGTGCTCAGGTAAACCAGAATTCCCATTTTAACCAAGACAGTCCTACTTCCTCCTTAACAACAAAGAACAGTTCACAAAAACAAAAGAAGGCCCAAATTCATTAATTTTCTGCCTCCAGGTGCAAAATGTTTGGGGATTTGGGCGTGCTGTAGTTATGATTTTTTGGTGGAGATATTGGACGAGACCAAACAGGAGAGCGCTGATAGGTGGGTAGAAATGAACCATAACCACCAAATTTCGTCCCTGTTAAAATGAATAAATCCTCAACGCATCACTTCATAGCATAACTCCACATTTGTTAATTTTCGAGTATATAATAATTGCAATAAAGGAGAAGATCATGTCAGCAAGCATTCTTAGGTGAAGGGACCACAACCAAGCATGTAGAATAATATAAAAGTCCTATATATATTTTAAGGTTATGTGAAGATGTTATACATGTGCATTGGTTCAGCAACTTCCTGCAAAGAATTTCTAGGCACAGAAGCTCAACCATTTAAAAAATCCATAATACATATTTAGCATTGTTATTAGTAACAGATTATTCAACATTCATGGACATTGATATGACATAATCATGCTTTGGTGGTTGCCATATCAAATTAATTAAATGTTAACAGTTATGTATTCTATTTAAATTGATTTTAAAAAAATTTCATTGAGCGTATATATATATTTGGGCAAAATTCATTTTACTAACCAAATAGCACTTTACCTCCATATCTTTTAAAAATAGCCACATACCTTCCATATGGTTTTGAACTAAAACGCTACACTTATATTTTTCATCAAAACTAATAGAGAGTTTGTTTCACATGCATATTTTGAGAGTGGAGAAGGGGGAAAAAAAAATAGTCAAAGTTAAATTTCAATGTCGGAAAACGAAACGAACCTTGTTTTATCTTTTAAACTAAATTTCTTATTTAATAACACTTTAAATTAAATATACATATTATACATATATATATATAATTAATTTAACTACCTTAATTTATTATTATAAAAATTAATCATCAAACTACTTTAATCTAGTTTTCAATTTTTAACTCAATTTTTTATTTAACAACATTTTAAAATAAACATAAACATACATAAATTAATTGGAACTAGGTTGTGTCCTTCTTAGGCACAAGAGTCGCAATCAAGGACACAATTTATTAATTGTGTCAGAGTATACTTTAGTATCCCTTCAATTCAATAACAATTTTTTTTTTTTTGGTAGGTAAATTCAATCACAAACCTTATCAGTATCACTGCAAGAAACCGAAGATGATGAAATTGTAGATGTATGTTGCATAGCCCTCTCCACCATCTTCAGGTGAAATTCCTGAGAAGGAACATGATGAAGGAATATTTTAGCCACACAAAGTGGCAAGAGATTTTATTTGCACAAGATATGGCCCAAACTTAGACTCAAAACAATGATATTTGTACATGCATAGATGCACAAAAAGGACACGAGTTTGAGCACGCACTTGAAAGTCTAGTAATCGAGGAGTGCTTCTTTTTGGGAGTAATGATGATGGAGCTTCAGAGAATACATTAACTTTTAATTTAGGCCAACATTAACATTATCAAAAGAGATAACAACAATATAAATTAGCTCCAAAGCAAAGCCACAAGCTATTATGACAAGATGAGCTTCAGGTTGTCAATGTCAATGGCTATTTCCTCCAAAACAGAAAAAAAATAAAATTAATCATAACCAAATCCTTCAAAGGCTATCATAAATAATAATTTACCATTTGTATTGCTAATTAGTACTTGTTCATTCAAGCACTTAGTGCCAAACAACAACGTTAACAAAGTGATATATATATATATATTGTAGGATACATCTCAGTTCTTACTTTCAGCAGCTTCTTTGCCTTCTCGATTTCAAGATGATGAGGATGACTTGTAGCAGCAGCAACAACAACAACAACAACAACAACAACAAATAAATAAAAAAATTAAAAAGCATTAAACAAATATAATTTCCAAAAACTACATCAAACAAAGTGAAATGATCAACGTAACATATATATAATCAGCAGACCTTGAACCTAAATGTTCAGATTATACAGAGCTTTGAATTAGAAATTGAAACTCGAGAGATTCATGTATCTAATTGAGATAATCAAATCATCAACCACAACAAGCAACGTAAATTATAGTTAACATTCGGATCAAATTGTTTACCTGAACTGAAGCTTGAGTCCCAGCTGACGCAATCGTAGTCACAGCAGCACTTATCGTATCCAGAGCGATGTTGTTCGTGCTTCTCATCTCTCTGTTTTTTGCTCTTTGCCCGATCAAACAATTAACCTAATTTCTCTCAACAATTTCTGTTTCATCGTCGATCAAACCTCGTAGAGGCTGCATCTTTCTCGAGAAAATTCAACTTAGAAAATCAAATTTTGAGTCGGAAAATGAAATTGAAGATCAGAGAAACAGAGCATAATAAAGAAAGTGAGAGACCGAGAGACAAAGATTCATACCACTGGAGCTGCGACTATGGCGAGCAAGAGAGCGAGAGAGACAGTTTGTGAATGTCGTGAGAGTGAAAGGGGCTAGGGCATTGGTATATAAAATAAATAAAAGAAATAGGAATAATAAATTGACCAAAGTAAAATCAGGTAGTTTTGGACTATTTTCATTCATTTAGTTTTTTGCGTCCATCTTTTTTACCATTGCAAATATTTTCTTTTTTTGCGATGGTTAAATAGTCAGTCGCAAAAAATTAGATGCAAAAGGTCAATTTTCTAGTAGTGGCGGCAGTTTAAAAAAATATCAAAACAAACGTCACTAATTTTCAACTTTTAAATATAGTTTGAAAAAATTATCACAGAAAAACATCACTAATTGTAAATTTTAGTGACAATTTATAAAAATTGTGATAAAAAAAAGTCACTGATTGTCAATTTTTAGTGACATGCAAAAAATCGTTATAAAAAATTATTTTTAGTGATAATTTTATTAGGAATTATTTTCAATAAGATTTTATGGGAATTCTAACTATTAGGATCTATAGGGGGAAGGTTCAATGTAAGTACTGATTAGAGAGACAAAACTATGTTAATGGTCCAACAATGGTGGAATGACTAGAGGATGAGTAGCTAGCTAAAGGTGAAACAAGTAGCTCAAGAAGAAATGGATGGCAGTGTACAAATGCGCAGCATCTCCCCCAAATCCTCAATAATTTCTCTTTGGACCATAGGAAATGGGTCCTATTTATAGGGTGCTGTTTGGTAACACATGTTTTCAGTTTTCTGTTTATATTTACAAAAATTTAAAAAACTCAAATAAAAACTTGTTTGGTAAAATTTTTGATTTATAAATCAGTGGTCTCAGTTTATAAATTTGGCCAAAAAATGAAAACACAAAAAATGTGTTTCCATTTTGAGTTTTCAGTTTTTTTTTTAGCAAAAGAAAATACCATATTTAAGATCAAACATATAAGCATGTAAACATCAATAAAAAGGGAGTGCAAAAACTATCAAAGCAAACTCAATCATCCCAACTAAGTTGACACTAACAAGAAAGTCCAATCATTTACTAACACTACACCAAAGGCTAATAAGGCACCAACTACAGAACAACCAAAAATACAAAGGGAAAAAATAAGCACTAATAAAACCAAACACAATTTTCACTGCACAACAATAGCCTCATATGCAAATCCCACACAATTCACCACCTTATTAGACACCATTCACCACAATAGCAAATAATAAACCACACCAAGCTCACCTTGGCAATAATAACAACTGAAGCATATCAAAAGCATAGCAGCCCCAACTTAAATCTTTAGCAACACCAAATAATCAATAGAACCATTTGTGCAATAATGAATCGAGCCACATCCTTCTGGAAGACCTTAGTGCACAGGCTAACAATAGCACCTATCCTATTTAGTAATACTCTGATGAATGAATTGATAAATTGTTTTCTTTAAATAATGCATGTCAATGATATATTTATATATAATGGGTTCATTTTGAGGGCGTGACATGTCCAATTAACTTGATTGTTTTAAGGTAAACTATTAATAGGTTCTCTTAATTTGACTTAAATCCCATCAAATCTTATTGAAAATAAGTTCTAGTAAAATCGTCGTTAAAAATAATTTTTTGTAACAATTTTTAATTTTTATCGCTAAAAATTAACAATTAGTGACTTTTTTATCACAGTTTTTCATAAATTGTAGCTAAAACTTACAATTAGTGACTTTTTTGTGACAAATTTTTTAAACTGTTGTTGAAAGTTAAAAATTAGTGATGTTTTTGTGACGATTTTTTTAAACTATCGCTAATACTTCTAATTAGACCTACCCGCCACCACCCATCACCACCCACCATCCGCCACCACCACCTACTCGCTACCACCCACCACCCACCTACCATCTACCCGCCATCCGCCACCCACCACCCACCAGCACCCATCACCCGTCACTACCACCCACTCGCTACCACCCGCCACCCGCCACCGTCACCCACCCACCACCACCACCCATCCGCCACCACCAGCTACCCATCACCCACCGTCACCACTTGCCACCACTTGCCACCACCGTCTTCCGCCGCCACTTGCCACCACTTGCCATTTCTCACTCTTTTTTATATTTTTAAATTTTTTTAAACATCTTGTTAATTACCAAACGTGTTTATAGTTTATGTTTTTCCAAAAATAAACAAAAAATAAACAAAAACCAGTTTATAAAATTTTTATAAATATAAACTGAAAACGTAAACGTTACCAAACACACCCTAGGCTTTTCCTTGGTATCAAAAGGACACCAAGTGGCCAAATAAAGAGAAGGCATTTGTCCCTAAGGATCACATAGAATATTCTGCCTAGAGCCACCATGCTGAAGGTGCCACGCGTCCCTCAGCATGTACTATGTACTATCTATTTGCCACCGTAACTACCTTTTTGAGCCTCAACAAATGTAGTTGCAGCATGAGTGTTTGGCGCTGCAACTACATTTTGAGCCTCATCAAGTGCACTTGCGACGGTAGTGCTTGCTGCTGCACTTGCCTTCTCAGCTCGAACCTCAGCAAGTACACTTGCAGCGGTAAACCTTGCTGATGCACTTGGCTTCTTAGTTCTATTTAGCCAGTACATGCATTTTTAGGACTTCATAATCTGCTATCAACCATGTTTTCGTGTTCACCTCAACGAAACCTCCACCATTAGTCACCTAATCACAAACTCCCCAGCTATCCAGGACGAAGACCACAGCCAAGCCCACTATCAGCCATACTGTGCCTTAGTACCAAGTCCAAGGGGGCTTCCTTAGTCCTGCCTATACGACTAAGGCAGGCCCATGACCTGGGTAATGGAAAGGGAGTCCCTTACACTTGGGCTACCCTGCTCTCATCTTCGCGGGATCACCGCAGTATACTGGTGTCTCTAGGCCTGTTATCGGCTCCAACCAGTAAGCCTTGGGGCCTGCTCTCAATGCCAAGATAGTGAGCTTCGGGCCTACTATCAGCGCCGAGCTAAAAACGACTTTGGGGGGGCTACTACCAGTCGTAGGCCATTACTGTCTCGGGGCCTGCTATCAACGCCAAGCATTAGGCTCTACTAATGGAGGGGAAAACGTTTCCTAAAGGCTACTGTCACCTTGGCAGAATGTTCCCTTCGCAAGTTAGTTGCTGCGGTCATAGTTGTTGCGGCAGTAGTTGCTATGACAGTCATTTCCCGTAGCAAGCTCAAATGGCACTCCGAACAATATTAGAGATAGCGGCGCCAACAAAGTACCTCCGCAACTTGGTCGCTGCAAGTATTGCCTCTGTAACTTAGTTTTTTCAGTTTTCTCTTTCCCTCTTTCCCTCAGCAACTTCAAATGGCGGCAGAACCGACAATATTAGGAATAACTATGCTGAGGCAAAATGCTTAAGCAACTTGACCACTGCAAGTGTTTCCTTTGTAACTTAGTTGCTTCGATTTTCTCTTTCCTCATCAACTTCAGATGGTGGTGGAACCTACAATATTGAGAATAGCGATGCTGAGGCAAAGTGCCTCAGCAACTTGAACCCTGCAAGTGTTGCCTCTGCAACTTCACTTAGATACTTTCCGTCGTGGAGTCTGTTTGGATCTTTGGCGGGTTGAACCTGCTTCGGCCCACTATTGGCCCATTTTCCTTGGGCTTTAGCCTATGCCCCTTTAATCATTCTTGGTCACCTGAAAGGGGCGATCTCAGCACTTAGACCCATACTTAATTTGGGCCTTAATTTTTGACCCTCTACTTTTGCCCCCTGTGCATGTGTGGGACACGTTCCTTGTTTACTGCGTGTGCATGATGTCAGCAAGTAACCTTGTGGTTTTTCCGGTTGGTTCAAAAGGTGGGTCGGCTCTCTATAGGGCCATGATGACTCTTAAAAGGTGTGTTTGACTAATGGGTCATATAGGTCCTGGGGAAACGTGTTGGCACCCTTTCTCTGATTTCTTTATAAATAGGCTCTCTCTGGGTGGTTCCCCACTTCCACCAAAACTCATCTTCTTGTCTTCTTCTCTCTCTAACCACCCTCTTCCAAAGTCTTCTCCTTTCTTTATTCATCTTCATAGCCACCACCAGATTCTTAGCAGATAAGACTATCCCATCTAGCGCTGAATGGAGGAGGGCCTCATACTTTAGGAGGCTCGTCTACCCATTTTGGAAGGCCATTGACTCCTTTGTTCCTGATCCTCCTTCTCTAGAAGAACCCCTGCTCCCTTTTAACGAGGCCTCCTTAGACGATGCTAACAAGGTCAACCCCGTTTCGGTATTGCAGTTCCGGGTGGAGCATGGTGATTTTCCCTATTTATACATCTATTAACGCACTCACTCAGGTTCGCTAGCCGACTGGTCCCTTTAGGTTGACGACATCATTGTGGACAACGACTTCGAGTAGCGTCTAAGGGGTGTTCGTCTTTTCATTGCCATCTTGATTTCGATGGAGTTGTCTGTGCACAAGGTACAGACCAACACAGATGTTTTCGTTTCTCGTTAGAGCCGTGACACCAATACTTTTGTTCTTGTTTGGGGAGAGGTAACCCCAACTCTTGAGGTTGTTGTTGTTCTATTAAGCCTGAGCACCCATGGAGACTATCCTTTTGACCCTGCATCCCTGACCGCTGTGAAACAAACTGCCGTCACTGCTCTTCAAGGTGCCTTTCGAGAAGTACAGAAATATGGTTCTTGGTATGATCCCAGGACCGGAGAATTGCTTCAAGAGAGGCCAAAGAGGGA